TTTCCAAAAAATATTTTTGGGGAAAAGTTGAAGGTATCAATTTTCCTTAGAAATAAATTTTCAAAAAAAATATTTTTGGGGAAAAGTTGAAAGTATCAATTTTCCTCAGAAATAAATTTCAAAAAAAAATATTTTTAGGGAAAAGTTGAAAGTATCAATTTTCCTTAAAAATAAATTTCCAAAAAATATTTTTGAGGAAAAGTTGAAAGTATCAATTTTTCCTACATAAAAAAAAATCATTCTTTCATTTCTTTCTATTTTGATTTTTTTATTTTGATTTTTCTTTAACTAATCCGACGACAGAGCCTCTGCAAGTGAAACAGTAGTTTTTCTTGTACACTCCTGAGGTGAGAATTTTCTCAATTTTCTGCTAAAAGTATTAGAGTCAATTGAGAATAATTTTCAATAATTAATTACTTGGTAAAATTTTAAGGCTTTTGGATAACACAAATTTAAGCTGGTACATCTTTTGATGGGCGTTGTGAGGGTGCTATAACCTTCCTCACACGTAACCGAACTCCCGAACCCTGTTCTGGTTAGCAGACCTGAACCTATTCTTCTAAGGACCCTTAAACTTAGGTCTTCCCTAAAAGGAGAGAATCCTTAGGTGGCCAATCGCACCTAGATAAAAAAGATTGGTGGCGACTCCCTAAAGTCAATGTCTAGCGATAGATCCCCGGATCTAGACGTTATGATAGTACTCTTCAAAGTTTTTTGATGCGTATTTCTCACTATTATCAATCTGAATACACTTCAAGGGTAACCCTATCATCATTTTCATTATGGCATGAAATTTTTAAAAATACTATAATACTTTACTTTTATTTTTTAACATATACACCCAAGTCTTACGTGAAGCATCATCAATAAAAGTAATAAAGTACTTACTACCACCTAATGACTCAATCTCAATAGGACCATATACGTTAGAATAAATCAATTCCAATATTTTTTTTTCTCTAAGAACTCTTATGAAAAGAAACTCTACGATGCTTATCAAATAAATAATGATAATATGAATTGAAAGATATACTTTTGATTAAAGGAATGAGAGATTGCCTTGTCAAAACTTGTAACTCTTTTTCACTCATGTGTGCCAGCCTCTTATGCTACAAGTTTGCTGACGTATCATCTTTAACAGCATTTATCTTGTTGCCATTCAATTACATCCATATCTTATATACTGTGCAGTATAGTTTTTTTCTTGCAACTATTATAGATCATTTGAAAAGCTTTTACTACTCATTTCTTTTGTCAACTTTCATATCCCTCTTTATCAAGGATATTAATAACAAACAAGTTCATTTTCATATCTGAAATATGTATGACATTTTTCAAAGTTAACATGCAGTTTGTACTAGTTTGTATAATAATATCACCAATCTCAACAATTTATGACACATTCATATTTTTTATATTGGTACAATCAAAGTTTTTTGCTTTGTAAGTTGTAAATAACTCTATCTTAAGAATAAAATAATATGTCATTCTTGTATCAATTATTTACTCAATACCGGGATTACCAATATGATTACAATCATCATGTGTATAAATCAAAGTAATTGCATCATTATCTGAATTTACTGTTGCAATATTGTCACTATCTGAACTCTTACCTTTCTCATCTTTCCACTCTTGTTTCAAGATTTTACAATGTCATTTTATATGATTTGTTTTACCATAATAGAAACACTTTACTTTATTTCTAGACTTAGATCTATGTTTAGATTTACTATGACCTTTTGAGTTTTGACCTCTATCGATGTTTTTACCTCTGTTTTTTGTGACCAGAATTTGATTTTCAAGGTCTACATCTTTCCTCTTACTTCTTCATTAAGCATATTATCTTTTATCATATCCAATGTCACCTTGTAATCATGAGTTGAATTAAAAATAGTCATAACTAAAATATTCTAATTATCTGGCAATGAATTTTAAAAAAATAACACATTCATTTCATCATCCATCTTAAGCTCCATAGTAGTTATTTGATTAAATATATCTTAAAAATCACTCAAGTACTTTGCAATAGATCATCCATCATTATACTGTAAAGTTGCAAACTTTTTAACAAGCATAATTTTATTCATACTTATTTTTTTCTCATACAATGTTATCAATTTTTTTCAAACAATGTGAGCATCTGTCTCTTATGTTACATGATGGAACACGCTGATATCAATTTATTTTTAATTATAGCCAGCATCTTTCTATCTAACTTTTTCTAGTTTCGTCTTTCATATCTACTGATTTAGCTGAATCACCTAATACCGACTTTGATACCACTTGTTGGAGAGATAAACCATATTTGAAGCCCATAAGAGCACATCAAAAAGCTCATACATATATGTTGGACACTACTTGAGCCCAAAAGCTTAAGCTATTAGGTTCTTGGATCTTTTAAGGATATATAAGATATCTCATTTAGATTTTCTAATGATGTATGATTATTTACTCACATGTGAACCATATCCCAACAATCTTCCTTGTTTACTTGTGAGTTCTGATCAAGTCTCACCTCGGTTCCCTCGTGTAAGTCCTATCAATACCTCTCTTGGGCCAAGCAACCTCATATTTCCAGTGCACTTTTGGGCCAAGCCACAACATTCAACCTTGCCACCTAGGTTGTCTCAATGCTCCCTCAAGCTTACAATCCAAGTTGACTTAACACATCGCTCACTTAGGTGTTCTGCTTCTGCATATTATCATATACTTGTTACATCCAAGTTGAACTTTTTAAACATCAACATTCGAGCACATGATGGACATGGCCAACCTCTGGTATGCTAACAATCTCCCTTCTAGTAATACCACTGGGACTTGAAGCCATAACCTTGGCTTTGATACAACTTGTTAGAGAGATAAACCACACTTAAAGCCCATGAAAACATAATAAAGAGCCCATATATATATGTTGGACACCACTTGAGCCCAAAAGTTTAAGCTATTAGGTTTTTTGGTCCTTCATACATATATAGGACATCTCATTCATACTTCCTAATAATGCGAGATTCGTTACTCACATGTGAACCTTATCCCAACAATCTCTTCCATTTACTTGTGAGTTTGATAAAGTCCCACCTCGGCTCTTCTTTATAAGTAAATCTTATCAACGCCTCATTTGGGCTAGGCAACCTCATATCTTTAGTACACATTTAGGTCAGGACACAACACTCAACCTATCTGCCTAGGTTGTCTCAGTGCTTGTTCAAGCTTGCACTCCAGGTTGACTCAACACATTGTCCACTTGGGTGTTCCACTTTTGCATATTATTATAGACTCGTTGCATCCAAATTGATCTTTTTAAATATCGACATTCGAGCATATGAAGTTGATGAATGCAACCAACCTCCGATTTGCCAACAATGTCTCCCCTAGCAATATCATTGGAACTCAAACCCGTAACTTTGGCTCTGATATCATTTGTTGGGGAGATAAACCACACTTGAAGCCTATGGAAGCACACCAGAGAGCCCATATATACATGTTGGACACCATTCGAGCCATAAAGCTTAAGCTATTAGGTTTTTGGGTCCTTCATATATATATAAGATACCTCATTTAGATTTCCTAACGACGTAGAATTCTTAACTCACATGTGAACGTTATTCCAAAAAAAAATTTCGTCCAGAGCTCCAACGGAGATAATGTTAAAGTAAGGGTAAAGTTTCCATTGCTGGTAACTTAGTAGTTAGTACTTAGTATGGCTTTACTAGCAAAAAACCCTGCTTAGAAGAAAAAAAGAAAGAAAGATCACCGGCTAGGAACCCCTTTTTCATACCGACAATAGCACAATATTGATTACCATGGTTCAAAAGTGCTAATAAAAAATAGACCTTGTTTGCATCAGTTGAATAAACTCGGCCTACCCACTGTCCGATGCCTATGCCCAAAGCCAATATTGTTTTCTTTGATCTGGACAATGGAAAAATATACCTAGAGCTATCCACTTATTACAAGTTTTTGGCACCTCAATTACCATGCCAGAGATCAAGATTTCATAGCAACCAAAAACATGAATTTTGGGTTAGGATCCATTTTAGGACTTAAAACTTTGCACCATCAAGTCAAGTGGACTCTGAAATTATAATGAGCCAATCATTTCTTAACTAAAAATTTAAGCTGATAAATTAATTGAAATAAACTGCCATTATTTTTCCTCGCAGTCCAAACGCAAAAAACACCCTTTCTGATTTGATAAAAGCCTAATTGTGCTAATATCTTGTTTTTTCTTTTATTATATTTATTTCCTTAAACCTTCGGTCAATTTACCACCATCCTTGGAAACAAGACGAGACAAACTCTGTGGCCTGACAGTTCATCATTGGAAATGGAACTCTCGCAAGAAGTTTCTCTTTATTAACCGGATTAACAAGCATCAAGGTTCATTCTCACCTACATTAATTTCATGGTCAATGTAAAGAGCATAATTCAGGGAAATTACCCGAAACCTGAACACATTTTCTCTTCAACATTATCATAATCATAAAAACAATAATTTGTTGAGAACTTACTGATTAATTATCTTTGAAGCTTTTAAAGAGAAAACCCTTCCAGGTTTATATAATCACAAGGAAGGTGCGAAGAACATTTGTAAAGATATTTTCAACTATTCTTAATCCTTAGTACATGTTTTAGCAATAGTGCTTTTCATGTAGTATCAATTGGGATGAACTGGAAAGCGACTCATCAACTTACCCAATCAAATTCAAAACGCAAAGTTGATATATAATTTAAAAATAAAATACCTAGTAATATTTATAAAAGGGCATATATTTGGGGTCGTGTTTTCCCTCCCACTTTCAACTTTACTTCATATTTATGTATTAGGTGACACAATCTGATGACCCTGACGTACAAAGTGCGATACTGTAGTCAATTGCTGGTGGGTCAAAACTAGACAAATTACTAATTTTGAACATAGTGTGGTGTTCCAGCAATTGCCCGTATAAAACCAAAATTTTTTCTCATAACTTGAATAAAACCTGCGTCACCAACTGGTACCTCATCCATGCAACTTCGAGGAAGGAGAACATTTACACAAACGAAACCGGCCTCGATTTTATACCCCAGCAAAATGCCGGCTGCAACAACCTTCCCAAACAACTTCCTCTTGCCTGTACGTTCGTTGTCATCGACAATCCTTCCTTCAACATTTCTGCTTCCTTTCCTCCTACGACTTTACTCCTTATACACATTATTTATAGTTATAAATACCCTATACCTCAGTCCGTCTTTCTCTATTACCGCATTCCATTTGCAATTCCTAGAGTTAGGACTTACGCCTGTGACTTGGTTGCCTTTCATTCACAAATGGCAGCACAAAATGCGATTGTGTTCGAGGATTTTTTCCCAGCCATGGTGGAGAAATTAGGTGCTGAAGGGTTCATGAAGGAGCTGTGTAATGGGTTTCGGTTGTTGATGGATGGAGACAAAGGAATGATCACTTTTGAGAGCTTGAAGAGAAACCTGGCTTTGCTTGGATTGCAAGACATGAGCGATGAAGAAGTGGTTTGCATGTTGAGAGAAGGCGATTTGAATGGAGATGATGCTTTGGATGAGATGGAATTTTGTACTTTAATGTTTAGGTTGAGTCCTGCTTTGATGAAGAGCTCAAGAACATTGTTGGTTGAAGCTTTAGTTAACGAAATGTAATCCTTTGTCTGCATTCAGCAAAAAAAGAAAAAAGGTGATCAAATGTTGTTCTCGTTTTTGTTGTTCTAGGGCTAATCTGTCATCAAATGTTGAAGAAAAAATGACAATGTAGCTTCTCTTATCTCAAATTGTTTACCCATTTTAGTAATTTCCTTACCAACAATTAGCTTCTCTTATCTCAAACATGGCGGATTTAAACGAATTTAAATTTGAGAAATAAATCTTCAAAATTTTTGGACTGCAAAATCAAAGGGAGGTTTCTTGTAGAATTGGTTGACTATGATACCATTTCCGTTGGTTTTTAGTAAGTTCTTAATGCTAGAATTGGTTGAGTTGTTTTAGGATTTCATTTGCTTCTTTGTTTTTGTCGAAAAATACAAGTTAGCAGACGACAAAGCGGAAAGAGAACAACAAATGGACAAACGAAAAAACAAACAAGACATGAGACATCTTTTCCAGGCTCTCCTGGCAAATTGAACTGGAAATCAGACCCTAGATAGATCCTAGATCCAGTTTTGTTTAGGGCTTTAGGCTCAGAAGTCAGAACTCTCTGGCTCTCGAACTCCTGGGAAGAAAAGAGAAATGAAAAGAAAGGCTGGGCTCAGATTACCTGGGCTTTGCGTAGCCCTTGAGTCCTATCTATACTATAGAGAAGTAGAAGAATCTTGCCCAATTTTTGTGTTCTGAAAAGCATGACCGACTTCCCACATGAGCCATGCATTAAATTCTTATTATCTTAATTGGATATAGTTGCAGGTATAAATCTTACGCCAAGTAAATTCTCTTCAGAATCTTGCCTTGATGACCTTCAGGTCCCCCTTTTTTGTTTTCTATAGTTAATTGCAGTAGTAAACTGTCCCCATCTACGGTTCACATCTTCAATATAGAGATGCTTTGAAGTTTTATATCACTTAATTTCATGCTCAAGGGGAAGAAAAACAGGATTCTCAGCCACTGGCTGAGGAAAGTTTAACCTTGTCCACATTAATAATATCCATACGATATATTACATGACACCAACAACATCAAGCCTACAGGATATGAAGCACCATACCAGGTCCACTACCATGTAGAATATCAAAAACCTGACAAGCTGATCTTCACTGGCTCGAAGTCAACATGAAATGAATCTTTTTCTTTTCTCAACCTAAACCACAAATTTCCTTTCCTCGTTCAAATTTGGCCTTTGGGGGAAAAAGATTTATTCATCCATATCTTAAGAGTAACTGCTTTCTCGGCCAGCGGAAATGGACACCAGCAAGGCCCACAATCTTATTCTTCGTGCTGCGTTTGTGTCTACCACAAGAATATTGGAACATGAACAAATGAAGTTTGAAATGGTGTGAAAATCCACTTTTTCCACGCAAAGTTACTGTTCTACATGACAAAACATTACTAAAAAATCAATCACGTTGGTCAAAATTTTGAAGATTAGAAGAATTTAGAGGTAATGACATAAGATCAGCCACACGGTTTTTAAACTCATTAAAAACACCAGATTGGACTTTGTCATATGACTAGCATAGAAACATCAGATTAAAAGCTGAAATATGATGGACAATCAACATGCACACGTAACATTCATACACAAAATAATAAACTTAAATTAAAAATATAAATATATTTATTTTGACCCAACGCAAAAATGATTTATTCCAAACTCAATTCACTAATAAATAAATCTTTACAATTGTGAAACTTTTAGAATGAAAAAAATTATCAAAAACTCTTTACTCAAAATTTATCTCAAAACCCAATTACATCCTTTTAATTACTCCTTCACTTAACGATTCTCTTAGTGTCTAACTATTTGGGATTACCAAACTAAAATAAAAATATCTTATTTATAAAAGTGAAACCCTTTATACCTTTTCTAAACATCTTATTATGAGATACAATACAAATTTAAACTCTTATAACTTCACTTAACTTTCGATATGGGATTATGAGATTTAAGGTAAATACCAACAAATCCTCCATTGACTTGAATCTCTAAATACTTCAACAGTATATGTAAAAGCTAACATGCTTGCCTTTCTTTTTTTCTTTTATCATAGGAATCCCAACAACTGAGCTTCCATCAAGCATGTATAAGTGAATTTTTACCTTATTTTTTGTAGAATCACATTATCATTCTTTTACACTTTCAACCAATTATTACTATCATAATATGTATACCTCGAGAAGCTAACTCACCAAAATCAATCAAATTATAGCTATAACTCAGTAGCTACCTTACATGATGATGTATCCAAACAACACCATTGTGAGATTTAAAGCAAACACTACTAATACCTTGAATTTGCACATTTTCATTGTTGGTAACCACAATATCCCAATACTTTATATTCTTTTTCAACTCCACAAAATAACTCTTATCATTACAGACATGAACTGTAACAGTTGAATCTAAAACTCAATATTTATCACCTTTTAAAGTTTGATTCTCACCCATACATCATCAGATATGACAACAACAATATCACTTTTTCTTTTATCCAATTTATTCTCATTATTCACCCTTTTAAAAGTAGTTATATCCCTTCTCAGTTTCTTGCAACGCACTTGGATATGTCACTTTTTACCATAATAATAATATTTTATATTACTATAATCTTTGTCTCTTAAATTGAATCTCCTTTTTGATCCATTAATCCTTTTTTGAGTCTTTCCTCAATCAAAACCTTTTACAAATAGTGTACTCTCTTCAAGTAATGAGTTTTGTATTCCCATAAACCTTTTGTTCTCACGCAACATGACAGTCACATTAACTAACTTCAAAGTAGACTTACCCATCAACAAAGTTTGAACTAAAAGCCTATAAGACTTGGGCAAAGATGACAACAAAATTAAAAAAAAAATTTCATCTTTTAACTTATCAACAGAAATCGTAAACAATTGAGAAACCAATCTATTAAGTTCATTCAGGTGATTGTAAAGACTCATACCTTTTTTTATATTTAAAGAATATAGATATATTTTCAAACATAATTTGTTAGTCAATGACTTCGATGCGTAAATACCCTCAAATTTATCTCATAAGCAATTGAAAAATCAATCTATTAAACTCATTCAGGTGATTATGAAGACTCATACTTTTTTTATCTTCAGATAATACAGATCTATATTCAAATATAATCTGTTAGTCAACAACTTTGATGCGTAAATACCCTCAAGTTTATCTTATAAACTCTTCAGAGTACTTTTAGTCAATACATTATACTTTATCTTTAGGGTTAATGTCAATTTAATAATACTAATAGCTTTCTTTTGAATTCTATTCTAATTACTATCAGACATTCTTTTAGACTTACTACTCTCTAATGCATGATCAAACCCTTATCGTATTAACAGATCTTGAATCATACTTTGACATAATATAAAATTACTCTCTTTATTAAATAACGGAATCTCAAATATGCTTGATCTAACTCTTGTTGTACTAACAAATCTTGAATCATATTTTATCATAATATAAAATTACACTTTTCATTAAATAATGGAATCTCAAATTTAGGCATAGATATATTAAAGACATCTTAAAACACTTGTTTCACGATCTCTTGAGCTTGTCTCTTCTTCTTGCTCTGATACCACTTGTTGGATAATCAACACATACACGTAAGCTTAAATCAATAATAAAAACACATAAATATATTTGTTTCGATTTAACTCAAAAATAACCTACTCTAAACCTAATCCACTAACAAATAAATATTTATAACTGTGAAAAAACTCATCAAAAACTCATTACTCAAAATTTAACCAAAAACTTAATTATATCATTTTAATAGTCTATACATTTAATTATTCTTTTGATGTCTAACTATTTGAGATTATCAAACTAAATTTAAAATATCTTATTTATAAATATGGAATCCTTTATATTTTTATTAAAATTTTGATGTAAAATATAAGATGAATTTAAATTTTTATAACTTTATTTAACTTTTAATATAGGATCATAAAATTCAAAATAAATCTCAACAAAATCAACTACTAAAAATTTATCCGGTGGTTGTTGTTTAGAGTCAAAATGCTTGGGAACTTAAAAGTTTTAAAATCAAATCTGTAGAAGGTTTAATTACTGAGAAAAATAGAAAAAAAAATCTTCCTATATATAGATAGTAAATCCTAATAAGATCTTTATCATGGCCTAATTTGTGCCAATAATGGACCAGACAGACACGTTTCTCTTGACTAGACAATCTGTAGCCGGACAATAGGTGAAACCTGATTCCCGTAACATGAAGATTGTCACTAGACAAATGCAATTGGAAGAACAATCAACCTCTTGAACTATCCCAGCCAATTACTCTCCTAAGAAGAAATTTAGTAAACACTACAATGGTGGCCACAGAATTAATAGTTCACTGGGACGCAGACAGGTGTCTCGTGGAATACTGTTCCAAGCAGAACCCGCCAGGAAGTACGTAAATTGACAGGTCCACAAGGACCAAGGACTTATCTTTCATCATCAATTTATGCCGAACAGCAGAGAAATAGGTTTTGCGTACAGAACGAAAAGCAATGAGTTGTTGAATAGGGTATGATGTGGCAAGATCCCGTTTTCTTGACCAAAATGCATTGCTCCTCAGTTCCAAACTTTTTTTGACAAGAAGTCAATCACGCAACGCAAACATGACTTGGTGTTCTTACTGTACTACTGACAAATTTTCAAACAAACGCAGCCACACTTTACTTAAGATTATTGGTGCATTAATTCGAACTCCAAAGGATGATTTCCCATATATCTAAAAAGGATGTGAGATTTATCGAAACAAAAAAATTGAAAATAATTGAAAAAAATTAAAATTTAAGAAAAGAATAAAGAAAGCAGAAGGAGGAATTTTATACATTTAACGAACATTGGCCAACTTGCCCTTGAGCATTTGTTTATGTATCTTAAAGCACTAAGGTTGACTAACAGGAACAAACACAGAACATATAGGCATAAAACTTCAGCGGTGCGCATGGAAATTCAATATTAAAAGGCAATTCTCTCAAACCAAGAACAAAAAAAAAAAATGAAAAAGTGTGAGCTTTGCAATTCTCTGGCAAAGGTTTATTGTGAATCAGATCAAGCCAACTTGTGTTGGGATTGTGACTCCAGAGTACATGGTGCCAATTTTCTGGTTGCTAAGCATTTAAGAACTCTTCTTTGCCGTCTCTGTCAATCTCCTACGCCCTGGAATGGCTCGGGACCAAAGCTTGGCCCAACTTTATCTGTTTGTGATAGTTGTGTCAATAGAAATGCTTGCAGAGAGGAGATAAACAATGAAGAAGAAACACGTGATGATAATAATGAAGATGATCTTGGTGGGGAAGATGACAGCAGTGAAGATGATGATGATGATAGTGGTGGTGATGAAGAAAATCGAGTGGTTCCATGGTCATCTACGCCACCAGTTTCCAGTTCTTCAACAAGTGAAGAATCTTCCACCAGGCTTGACAGCACCCAAGAAGGTGCTTCTCAATCAAGAACAGTTCTTTCATTGAATCGCACGCTTGACACTGTAGAGCCCGCTTCTCGAGTAAGCCAGTCTGTTTCTCAATTTTTTTTTTTGCAAATCTTTCTCTGAATGATCCTCATAAATCTTGGAATTTTTCATTCGTTTAAGCCAGAATCTGAATTTTAGACGTTGCTGAAATTCTATTTTGAAGCAGGATCACTCAGGCTGCTCATTTTCTCCACAACATCAGAGCAAGAATTTGTCAAATGAATCAACCTCTTTAGATGCTTTTATGTCACTGAAAGACCAGAAAATAACAATGAGAGACCCTCTCAAGGGGTTTTAGAAGGGTATGGCTGCTGGAGACATCTGAAGAAGTCGAAAACACTGCTTGATATCTGCAAATGATGCAAAAGCTGCTTCAAGATGTTAATGGCATTTTTACAGACTAATTACTTTTCGTTTAATATGAGGTAACTTTCTCTAATTAGAAGTCAGCCAGTCTTGATTGGTATGTGTCGGGTGTACTTAATTAAAGAAGAAATGTAAGCTTTTTTTTTTTTTTTTTTTTCATGTTGAAAACTTGAAATATTAGCTTTACATTGAAGCTGAAAGAACATTTTACAAATAAATTTAACTATAAAAGATGATATCCGACAGATTTAAGATTTAAATAACTAATATTTACAACGCTTTTTTTATTTCATGTTTGTTAAAAAAAAAACATTATGGCAATGTATAGTTGCAAGTGATAGAGGCTAATAACAGCTAACAAATTTTGTTTCTTTATTAAGAAAAACTTGATTACTTTTCAACCTCAACACAGATCACATGTTTCTTCTGGGAATAAGGCAATCAGGTACCATTTTTTAAGGGATGAATTGCACTGTAATGATCAGGTTTGCCAAAGTTGCATCTTTGTTTTTTAAGAATATAGCACCACATCTCCCTTAAGCAACAGTTTCATTGTCCTCTTCCATTTCCAACACACTCGATGTAATCAATGCAAAGATAATGCTATCGATTATGACAAAAGCAATTAACTATACTTCTCACCTTCCTAATTTGGTATCCAAAATTTGAATTTAACGTTTTTTTTTTTTCAATTTTTGGTTTTTTGGATTACGTTCGTTCTTCAAATACCTGAGAGTTTACTCAAGTTCCAATACAAACTCCAAAAGTTTTTTTTTTTTCCTTTTTTTTTCACAAAAAATGAAGAACATTGAACAAGCGGCAATTTTAGTTGTACCTAATGGTGTTCATAATTTGATTTTAATCAAATTAATTAATTAACTTAATTTAATTTAATTAATCAATCAATCATTGAATTAATTTCGTTCAATTAATAAAAATAATTTTAAAAAAATTTCAATTAAAATCAAAATTTTAATCGAAATATAATATAATTTAAATATAAAATAAAAAATACATAAAATAGATCATTTAATTTTATAATTTGTTAAAATTTTTAATATAATACTTTAATATTTGAATATTTTATCAAAAATTTTATTTAATTTATTTAAAATATGAGAAATTAAAAATTTAAAATATAATTTAATATAAATATATTTACTATTCGATTAATCAAAAAAATTAACCGAATCGATCTAACTAAACTCAATTTATTAATTTTTAAAATTTATATATTTAATTTAATTAACAAAAATATAATAATATAATTCAATTAATTCAATTTTGAATAATTCAATTCAAAATTCATCGATCAACACCCCTAGACTTGTACCCCACCCTTGACAATGCTTGAGTCCAGGAAACGAGTGGGATCCTTTTCTGGTGCAAGTGTTGATACCAATTGCACCCAGACAATGAACCTGGTTTTAATTGTTTGACCAATAAAATCCAAAATTCCACTTCTTTCACCATGAGATTCACAAAGACAACCGTTGAAACCTGAAGGCGTGATGAAGGTATCTAATGATTTCTTTTGCATGCGCCACAAGTTTTGTAGTTCCCTTTTGAGTCCTTTTTTCTTTTCAAAAGAAATTTATCAAGCACATGCATTCCCTACGGTACATTCCCCTTGAATGTTTTCTTCTTTGAGAGCTCGCGCCGATAAAAATTGAATGGCTTGAGTTCAGAGCGAGGTCATTGGTGTCATTTGGTCCACACGAGTTGACAGGCTTACTATGTTTGTCATCCTACAGAAAAACATAGGAAATTAACGAAAGAAAATGACTGGTTTTTTCATGATTAAATGCATCGAATTCAAGCTTTTTTTACGTTATCCCTTCAAGCTAGTGACAAAGTTAATGATGCATACACTGTTTAGGCTTTCTTTCATCAAAACTTTAGCTGCGAATCACTGAGCGACATGGGCATGCAAAAGCAGTAGTTCATCATTTCCCCATTTAGTCTCTTACTGAGAATTTAATTAAGGTTTCTGAATTAAATAAATATATATTTGCCATGAACACAATCTTAAGCAATATCTTGGTATTTTCAATCGTAAGCTAGCTTTAAATCAATCCCACCATCTCTTTCACTATTATTTGTACCGTATAAATAAACCGCCCATCACATCGGATTTAGGCGATTAGAAGAACGGGTGCAAAGGCATATAAACCACCAACCATTTTCACACAAGACCGTTCAGAAACTCCATTAAAGACCATTCCAACTTCTAAACTGCCTCCCTAAGCACCCTCCTTGCTGCTCATAAAGCCTTATGCGAATCTGTAACAAACAGAAATCGGTGTCAATTTTCATCCAAAACAGCAAGATCGAGGAAGCCATAACACCTATAAGAGAGAACATTTCTACTACTTTGTCATAAAGTACAAAATTTCTTTTTTCTGATACCAAGGGTGGTGCGATGTGTGTAACACTGTCGGTGAATTAGATATTGCAGGGGTGTCCTTTAAGAAATTATATGACACACAATGGTTCATAGAAGAAAATAAACTAAACTTGACTGATCAAATCACTATATGTCAGTTTATACGGTTAGTAATATTTAGCCAAACAGATCAACCACCAGCCAAGAACTAGCATTCTGCTGAAATAATTTTTTCGGGCTTCAAGCAAAATCGAACTTAATGAACAAATTAAATTTCATGTGTTAACACAGTTTGTAGACACTAAAGAAATATTCTCCTCAAAATAATAACAATATTCGTTTATATGTTTCATGTTATTCTAGATGCAAAATGTTACATAGTTTTGGAATGCTAATGCTATCAGTATCCTCAGATACACTTCCAGGGTGATTCAATAGAAACCATACCAATTAAGTAATTATGGGACTGACTAATTTGTTGCTTGCCATTTATGGAATTGTATAACCACAAAGCTCTACATATGCATGTGGTTATATAGCTTTTAAATTCGGTAAAAACCCCAAATTGCCCCAAAACCAGATAAGTTTTTGGAAAGACCTTGTAGTAGATTAACATTTTCCAGGGAAACATGTTACTAAAATAACTAATTTCAGCGATGCAAAGAGATGCCATAGAAAGTCATCAATTTGCATGCATACGGTACATCATAAAATCCCAGATGGCAATGATAGTCCAGAATCATGGCAAACATCTTGTTTATGTATAAATTCATAACTACATTAAAAAGATTATTTAATTTGCACATAAGGTACCAATCAAATACAATATTTCGTGTGAATCGCAAACAGCATGAAACTGTCACAACTTAACTGAAATAGAGCAGAACTAAAGTTAATGCATAATTTCCTTTTTTTTTTTGGGTACAAAGGAGGCCTTAATCTAGGGATAGAGGAAGAGGTTGCAAGTACTGGGATTTGAACCTTACACTTGCTGGACAACGCCACTCAAGGGTGGCTACATAAACCAACTGAGCTAAATTATGAATTCATTAATGCATAATTTCAGGATGTCGTCTTCTTTTTTTTTTTTTTCTGTAACTAAACTTCTTACCAAATTGACCAAAGAAATGGAAGTTTACTACTTTCACTGGGATAGATCTTTGAATTAAGAGGGTTTAGGGAAATAGAGAAATAAGAAAAATTATAAAGAATGCAACGACATGGGAGAAGCTGAAACCAAAGTTGCGCCATAGCTTACAATATGAATTATGAAGTAAATGACCTTCAGGGCACATTACAACACTGCAGAAATACATAGAGATGACAGCTATGGCAAATAAAATGTTACTCATAGTATCAGTAATCTTATAAAGCAAAGAACAAAAAGAAAAGAACAAACATCAATTTAAACTCTATGAGCAAGCACCAACGATACATGCTAGTTCAGCCGATTTAGAAAACATAAAACTAAAATAGGCTAACTGTAACTCGAATCTAAAGACAAAACATAGAAGATCTTTCTCTCTAATTAACAAACTTTTTTGCTCACAATTTTATCAGGGAAACATATTGGCAGTTTGGCATTGAAAGGTTTCGGGCACTTAAGCCTGATGCAAAAAAAAAAAAAAAAAAAAGAACATCAATGTAATAAAACTGATCAATATGCAAGATGAGATTCAATCTAAACAAATTCAAATAAAGAGAACAGAATTGTTACAGACAGAGATGGGATGCTTCTTGTCAACAATCTGATAGCACCATTAAACAGGAGATGCTTAATCAATAATCAGAAAAACCCTCTCCACTCTGCAATTTTCCTTCTATGAATAGAAAGAAGATGCAATAATGTGCATGTCATACTCAGATGATCAACCAATGACACTTTCTGCCATATGAAATGAAGAAATTAAAAAACCAAACCTGACTGTTTATCTTCGGCATTATGAAACCCCTTTTCCTCTTCCTCTACTAAAGGACATAAGACTTCTCCATCTTTATCTAACCCATTTCCCTTCAAATTTTCCATCGCTATCTTTCTCTTTCTCTCCATCAGGAAATCTGACAACAATCACAGGACAAACACAGTGACGAACACAGTAATCACTTACACTTCCCAGCCTTCCTTTAGCACTCCTCTTTGCAGCTCCAAACCCTCTACTCCCCATAACCACAGCACTCAAACCCAACCTTTCCACCTCCAAGCAAAGCCTTTCCTTCATATCATGATCTTTCACTATGTGAACCTTAAAGGATATATGAGATTCCGCCAATAGTAAAGCAAGATCGTTTATTTTCTTATTAGTGAACAAATCAAACTCTTCCTCCCGTTTCTGCTGAGTTTCCTGGGTTTCATCATCATCAGGAAGTGACACGTCTATGGCTCCCCAGTCAGCACCGTAGAGAACGCTCGTCGGACTCACGTGAAGGAGGATAACAATGTCCCCCGAACGAAGGTAGTTGTGAACAGCCCATTGAACGGCAAAGGCACTCTCGTAGCTCAGATCAACGGCTATACCGATCTTACGTTGGGTCCCGGCGGAGGAAACTGGGAACCTTGGAGAAGATGGTTGTACCAAAATAGCTGTAGCCGGTCGGTCCGGCGATAAATCCGATGGGTTTCTCTCCTTGGGTGAAGCGGCCATGGACCAAGTTTTCTAATTTTTTTGGCTGTGTTCAATTAATTTTCCGGGTTTTGGTTGTCGGAGAGAGACAAGACAAGTTGGTAAAGAACATTGGAAGTGAAAAAGCCTGAACAAGCGTCAATATAACGTCAGAGAAAGTTCAAATTTGGACAAGCCATTTTTTATTTTTTGTTATTTATTATTTATTATTATTATTTTTATATTTGTCTTTTTTTTTTGGTTATGTATTAATATTTTATTTTAAATATAAACCCGGTCCAATTTCTGAAAATCCTAACTCTGGTAATTTCTAGGGTTTGACTTCTCTCTCTCTCGATCTTCCAATCCAATAACAATTGAAATCGATAAGGGTTACGGTTTTCCGTTCACAGGCAAATAATCAAAGATGCCACAAAGGCACTCCAAGAACAACAACGATTTAGCCTTCTTCACGTACGATGAGAAGAGGCAGCTAGGGTACGGGACGCAAAAGGAGAGATTGGGGAAAGACTCGATTAAACCATTCGATGCTTGCTGCCTTTGCTTGAAGCCTTTCATCGATCCTATGTCTTGCCAAAAAGGTCACGTCTTTTGCAAAGAATGCATTCTCGAATGCCTTTTAGCCCAGAGAAAAGACATCCAAAGGTACCCTTTTTAGCCCAGAAATTCTGTGTTTGGATCAACGAATTGTTGATGGTATTTTGCCCAATTTATTTGTTTAGACTTTAGAAATCATGTTAATGACTTGTTAATTCTTATTATTTTTCTTTGGGATGGTTGCTTTAACTGTAATTCAACTTATAACTATCTGTATGTCGTAATTCATTTGGTAAAGGAGATGCATTAGGTATTTGTGATTTTTCTTCGTTGAGGGGTTATAACTGAACAAACAGCTATGGCCTAAGATCTTTAGAACGTGATGTTCTAGGTATTCATTGGATCACAATGGCAGTAGGTGGAGTTGCATGTAAAAACATGGCTGATTATTGGTGGGCAAAAATTTTGAAGTGTTGCCTAATTCAGCATTCTGTTTATTTTGATTGATCCTGCTACAAACTAGTCTTACGCCCCGATTCTGTATTTTTGCGATGTCTTTGTGATAGAATTGAAAGTGGAAGAAACAAAACTGAATGGAAGTAGAGAAGCTGGTTATCATTGAGATAACAGTCTCTTTAGCGTCTAACAAACTTTTGTGTTTCCAAATGTGAAGGATGCTTTCTGTTAGTGTGTGCTTGTATTTGTCTTCTTTAAATTACCCTAGCCATTTCCCCTAAACGCTATCTATGTGTTTCAGCATGATAACAATCAAATCAAGAAGAATGATGTTCTTATGAACTTTTTTTTCCAGGTTTTAGATCGTTTTTGAGTCCGTTGCAGTTTATGATAAGCTAGACAATTTATACATATAATCTTTTTTACAATTAGATGACATCACTACATTCTCTAGTTTGATTGGATAGAAGTTATTTTCTAGAGCTGCTATTAGTAATTTCCCAACGATAGGAGGTTAGGAGACTGATATGAAAGCCTGCTAGGAGAACATAACTCTTTCCTCCTTTTCATTGGAGCAAAGTAGGATTTGAATATGTCTTCTTTAGTGCTTTTAATGTTTAGTAGCGTTTTTTTTTTTTTTTTAACTATAAATTGGCAGTCTCCAATGTGAAAAACTACCTTTCATGTGGTGCAGAAAAAATTTTGAACTAATAAGGTTCTTTGGTAGTTAAGTGGGTGCTTGTACTGGATTTTCTTTAAAAAATAATAAAAAAAAAACTGCTCTGTTCAAAATCAGCTCAATTTGTCCCTTTATGGGACAATGTGTTGAAAAGCATGTTTTTATTCCATGTGGCAGGAAGCTTGCTGCCCACGCTGCTCAGCAGAAGCAAGAGAAGGAAGAGCAGGAGGAGAGGTTGATGTTGCAGAAATCTAGAGAGCTTGATGCATTTGATCAGCAAAACCATGGTGCTGTGCCACAATACAATGACAGAAACCACAGCACGGACAAGAATGGGTTCCATGGGGCAAATAGTGTGAAGGCCACTTCTTATGAAGCGGAAGCACTCCGGACAATGAAAGCATTCTGGCTTCCCTCTGCCACTCCAGAAGCACCTGTTAAAGTCGAGGCTCCTTCCACCGGTACAATCTGTCCAGAAGGTAAAGAAAAACTCAAGCTGAAGAGCCTTTTTCCTATCTACTTCTCTGAAGATAACAGTGAACAGAAGAAATCCAATTCTCTTGATAAGACTTACATTTGTCCGAGCTGCAAGGTGACTCTGACAAACGCATTATCATTGGTAGCCCTTAGCTCCTGTGGACATGTCTTTTGCAAGAAATGTGCTGACAGGTTTATGGCTGTCGATAAAGTTTGTTTGGTCTGTGATAAGGCATGCAAAGAGAGGAATTTGGTGACCTTGGTAAAAGGAGGGACAGGCTTTGCTGGCCACGGGGATCATCTTGAAGCCACTGATTTCAAGCATTTGGGAAGTGGTAGTGGCTTGGGGCTTGTGAGACCTGCCGCGAAGACATAAACTTTCTTTTTTACCTCTTTGTAGGTCTGTTTGTTTGCCTCTCCATCGAAGAAAAGTGAAACAAGAAAGGGAAAAGAGATGCAACGAGTTTCATCTGCTTTATACCTTTCGGATTCAATATCTTTGCACATCATTCTATTCTGTACTTCTGGTATGAATTTGTTTAATTTTATTCTAAAATAGCAATGGCAATATCGTTTTTTTTCCATGTTTAAACATGTTTAGGCTCATTTTCTTGCCTTTGAAACTAAAATGGTTAATATAGGAGTTGAACTGTTGAAATTCTTCCCATTGTTGTTGGATCGAGGGACAATGCATATAGAACTAGAACTCCTATTGTTATTTGTTACTATTATCACATTAATTTTTTTTAAGGGATAAGATAAAAGAAAATTAACCCAATGAGCCAAGCTATAGGTTCATGTAAGAAGGGAAGGTCGGAGGGTGGTTGAGAATTGACGATAAGTCATAAGTGATAACTCTCAAACCCACCTTCATTGGGAAGCATAAATAAGAAGCTTTATCTGATCACAAAAAAACCATCAAAAGACCCCACCACCTCCATCATCATCACCCACCAACTTGGGTCTCCCTCTGCTCGGTGCCGCCTGCTGCTTCACTTTCACCTCCCCACCGCAAGTAAACTTGGGTTGGTCCTAATAATAACTAAGGAGCTTTAGCTTTGGCTTTTGGGTACAGCTCAGTATCCGTGTGTTTCCCATCTGCCTATTTCATTCCAAGTTTTCCCTTCACAAATTAGACCACCATCAGATTCTTGAATAAAACAACTTTGTAGCATTAACTTCATCACCAATTTTGATATTATTGATATACAGTATTCCAACAAGGTTTCTGCTTTTGTCAACATCTGACTCTAACACCCCATAAAAGCTGGTTGCTTTCTCTGTCTATATCTTGTTCCATATAATGTAAAGACGAAATTCAACAAAAGCTTAAAGCTTGAAAGTTGAAAACATGACTAAACAATTAATGGCATTAATTATTAAATATCACCAAAAAAAGAAATAGGAAAGAGAAGAACTTTTACTGCAGTTAGAGATTCTTTTTTCCTTTTTTCTTTGGTGGGAAATTAGTGAAGGTCGAGATTAGAACGTTAATGAAGCTATTATTAGCAGATTATAATGTTAAATGTCCCATAATCAGGATCCTACGTGGCAACAGCTGTCCAATCAATTATCCGCCTCTACGGGTCCCACACCCCATTAATCATCCCCGCCAAAGCAAAACTAAAAAAACAATTATTAAAAAAAAAAAAAAGGAGAGGTTAAGCTTTGAAGTTTCCTCGCTTGTGTTTTAATGGTGGAACTGGATAAGCAAGAGAAAGTTGTTGTAAGTGGAAACAAAGAGGAAGAAGAAGGAGAGAGGCTGCTAGATCGAATGGCGGTGTTAGATTTCGACATGCTATGTTCGACGGTGGTTTGCAAACCCAAGGCAAATGGAGGAAACTTGAAAGCGCTGAGGATTGTTCAGAACAAGGAAACGGCAACTTTGTGGCGTTTTGAAGATGCGAGAAGGTGAAGTTGTTCTTGGTTTCTTGGCTGACTGCTGTCTCGCTCTCCAATCTGCCTGGTCAGTTCTCTCTCGATATGTTTCGATTTTGAGGAAAAGGCCGTTTGTTTCCTTGGAAAATTAAAAAAATTTAGTAGAAAAACTGATTTTATGCTATGAAACCGATGTGAGTGATTCTATTAATGTTTATGTAATAGTGTGTTCTAATGTTGCAGTTGCCCCTGCTACAGATTTGGGAAGAACATGAGGCGGGGTGGTTTCGGTTATTGCTTTCTTCAGGTAAAAATTTTCATGTTTCTACATTGTTATGCTACTCAAAACCCCATATCTGGAAATGGGGAGTTCCCAGATATGTTGTTTTCATAGTCACCTTATGATATGCAAGTTCAGGGATTTTGCAATTTTTATATATATTCTAGTTTATTGCCAATGATGCTGTATTGCAATAAATTCTTAATTCTTAATGTGCTTTTTGCAGGGAACTGTTTATTTCATTTTTGTTATGAGTTCGTTTCTGAACTTCCTTGCCTTCATTGTCACCAAAAGGAGTTCTGTATTTGGCTGTTGCTTTCATCATATCCATTGGATCATATTTGTGTCTTCCTTACACAGACAAAAAGAAAATTCAATATTAGGGTGAGAACTTTTATTTATCGACATTCTTTATTCTTTTCTGACCCTAGGCTCTAATGATAAGTGATTTTTCTTGATTCCTCTTGATTATGGCTTTCTCAATGCATTGAACTTCTATTCTTTTGCGTATAAGAATTATAAAGATTGATAAATATGTAAGATCAGCTCATCTAGTCATTTATAAATGGTGTTGTTATTTATCTATTATCTGGATAGGACTAAGATATCTTGAATTTCAACTGCATGATCAATTATTGTGCTTTCCGGATCTTTTCTTTATGTTTATATTGATTATATACTTCTGATAGTTATTTACATTTTCACTTTAACTTTCCCAGCATCTTACACTTCTGTTTCAATTTTACTAAAACCATACTATTGTTAGGAATTATGTTTGTTTGCAGGGTAATGATAGCTTAGTGGATGATTGCATCTACCATCTTATCTGCCCTTGCTGTACGTTATCCCAAGTTCTTGTCCTTGCCAAACTGTGTTCGAACTTTGAGTAATTTATTAAGTGACTCTACAATCCAAAAATGCAACGAGACTCTTTGAATTATTGATATTATTAAAGAATCAAATGGTCAAATTTAAGTTCTTCAAATCTTTCATTTTCCTGAAAAATGATAATTAGCTTTTTTTTTTTTCTCGACATGGAGCAGGAATCCAGAGCATTGGAGATTAACAATGTCCAAGATGGTACATGGCATGGTCGTGGTGATATATGCATAGGAAACTACGAAGGGAGCAAAGCGTTCATTGAGCTACTCCCTCCTCCTCTATCAGTTAAGACTGCTGAGCCCTGCAGCATGCAAAATAGTTTAAATGGTGATGATAACGGTTGAAAACATGAGAAGCTGTGTATTCAAAGATCTTGTCCAATATTGGCTACAACAGCAAATCACAAACTTCCCAGAAAACTTTTTCTTTGATGGAGGGATGCTAGACAAGTTGATGGAAGAGCAAAGCGTTACCGGCTTGGACCATAGAATCCTGTAGAAATGGTGATCCATTTTATTCAAGGAGAAAGATAATGGTGCTTCCATGTGCATCAAAGGAAACTATTTGTAACAGTTCGGGAGGAGTTTTGGGGACATCCAATCCAACTTTGCATTTCATTGTTATTTTCACCAGATAGACTTTGAGTCTCTGCCCCCCATTTTTCTTTACCTTAATTGATTAAGGGAAAACCTTATTCACCATGACTGCTGTAGATGCTTCCTTTTAGAAAGTATATTTTGTTTATTTTAAATAATAGCTTGGAAATAGATTTGTTATTTTACTCTTTTTTCCTTTTGTGAATAAATACATAGGTTCTGCCGACTGTACTAGTATTCATCATTGAATTCCGAATATAGGTGTTCCATTGCAGGCTTCAGATTCCCATATATGCTAACTTGGCCTGATGGAGAGAGCAATAGAGTGAATTTTGTCTATTTTTCAAGCTTCTTTTTGACCAAAAACTTCTTTCCATAGAAGTTTTAGAATTGCTAGCCCTGGAACTAATGGCCTGGATTATGTAGATTAGAATCAACATTAGTGAATGATTCTATGCAACTTAATTAGAAGACATGAAGGAAGTGAAATTTGTAATTTCATAGGGAAAAACAACTCAAAATTTTTGTGAAAGAAACCGTACAGAAATGGCAGGAACAACTTTCTACAAGGAGTAAAAGCTGGGCATGCAATTTGGGCTTGGATCCTTGGACCATCTAAAATGGCCCAGTGGTCCCTGGATTAAGATAATGTTTACTGTCTACAGAAATCAACTTTCTGATCTTTACCTCCAAAAGTGGACCCAAAACTTCATTCAGGACCATCAACCTTTGCCCAATAAATCAATCAGTTAATTTGCATTGCTGCAATCAATTCATTTCTACAAGAAAACAAAAGTTATGTTTCTCGTGTTTCTCAATTCCTGAATAACCAACAAAGATGAGACATAGTTATTTCTCCCTCGGTGCCTTTCAAGCATATAAATAGTGTATTTTCTCGACAAAGATACCAAAATCTTTCAAGACAGCAACGTGCCTTGAACGTTGCCTTTCTCTCCCTCAGTCTCTCTCCCTTATCCCCACAAATTTTTTAATTTCTTGAGTAGTATTTGGTGGAATTGGACTATCTACTTTCCCGCCTATCTCATTTTCTTTGGTCTTGGTTTTTTACAACAATTTATAGTTATATTCTATACTTTGACATGAGAAATGAAGCCTCCATCTGTGCCTGTTCAAGAAACCATTTTCTAATTTGAAGTTTACAGTGAAATATCTTATTGAATGAAGCATTGCTCTATTCCCTATCTGCTACACAACAACACAACATTAACTCAAACAATTATTTCTAGTTTAACCTTTGAAGCCATGTTTTTGTCCTTCATGTCCTTTCTCCACATTAGGTAGTGAAAATCTAGCTGAAAATCTTGTCCACATGGTTGAATCTGGGAAATCTGCACCCTATTAATTTCCGACGCTTGATTTCTCTCTTTTCAGACATTGCAGTGGCAGCTGTGGTGCTAGTGGTACTTTCACCTTCTGATTTGGTGCATTTACAGTCTAAAACACTTACTGGGGTTCGTGTACTTGAGCCCGACACCCTATCTACAAATGATTCGCTGATTTCGTTAATCACCATCTGTTGCATTGCATTAAAGCATTTTAACAGGTTCTCCTGTAAAAAATTATTAAGGTTCATTCGTTAGTGTAAAGTAACCAGAAATGAACAAAATATATTCTGCAAAACTAAATATGAGGACTAATTGCTTACTTTGTTCACGTGTTCACAAGACAAAATTGAGTTTTCGAAAAATGGAAACTGCAATGGGAATAGCTCATGAGATGCCAGAAGAAGAGCCGATGCTGCAATTGTTGATGGTTTGAACTCTAACAGATTGATTTCTGCAACAAAAACAGAGTTTTTCTCGTAAGGGTTTAAGCTGTTTAATGTTAAAGACATGACAGAAATGATTTATGTTCTGTTTGATTACCATTACGAGCTTGGAAGATTATGTTCGTCGCTCTGTCTTTTAATGCATGTGTCGAAGGT